TCTTTCTTTCTTTCTTTCTTTCTTTCTTTCTTTCTTTCTTTCTTTCTCTCCTTTTTCCTTTTCCGTTTATTCACATCTAACTTTGTATTCATATTATATGTTACATCTTCCTTTTCTACTGTGGACTAGGATACATTTTAGTTAATTTTTTTTTTTGCCTTTAAAACATTAATTAATTATTTTCCAGCCTGATCACAGTTTCCCCAATCTCCCTGGTTTCCGGCCTCTTCCACTCCTCCTTCTTTCTCTTTGGAAAAGGACAAGACTCCCATGTATGTCAGCCCATCATGGCATATCAAGTTGCAGTAAGACTTGGCACCACTTCTCCCATTAAGGCTGGAAAGGCAGCCCAGCAGGAGGGGAGGGTCTCAACGGCAGGTAACAGAGTGAGACACAGCCCCTGATCCCACTGATAGAAGTCCCACAAGCCTGGTGGTGGTGCACGCCTTTAATCCCAGCACTCGGGAGGCAGAGGCAGGCAGATCTCTGTGAGTTGGAAGCCAGCCTGGTCTACAAGAGGTAGTTCCAGAAGAGCTAGGACTGTTACTCAGAGAAACTCTGTCTCAAAAACCCAAACCAAAACAACAACAAAAGAAGTCCCACAAGAAGACCAAACTACACAACTGTACCATAGGTGCACAGGGCCTAGGTCGGTCCCAGGCAGGCTCCCTGGCTGTTGGTTCAGTCTTTGTGAGCCCCTCTGAGCCCAGGTTAGTTGATTCTGTGGCTTTTCCTGTGGTGTTCTTGCCCACCCTGGACTTTATAATCCTTTCTCCCCCTCTTCCATAGGATTCCCTGAGCTCCGCCTAATGTTTGGGTCTCTGCATCTGTTCCCGTAAGTTGCAGGATTAAGCTTCTGTGATGACCATTGGGCTAGTCACCAGTCTATGAGGATAGCAGAATGTTGTTAGGAATCATTTCATTGACTTTCTAAAATTGCCAATCATGTTTAGTTCTACCATAGGTCTCTGGACTGTCCAGTCCTTGGGTCATGGCCCTTCAGGCAGTGTCAGGGATAGGCTCCCTCTCACGGTATGGGTCTCAAGATGGACCGGTCATTGGTTGGCCACCTCCATAGTTTCTGCCCTATCTCTACCCCAGCACATCTTGTAGGCAGGCAAATCGTAGGTGGAAGGTTATGTGACTAGGTTGGAGTTCCAATTCCTCCACAGAGAGTCTTGCCTGGTTACAGGAGACGGCTGGCTCAGGCTGCATCCCTCCCATTGATAGGCGTCTTAGCTAGGGACATCCTTCTAGATCCTGGGAGTTTCCACTGCACTAGGTTTCTAGCTCATTCCAGAGATGCCCCCTCCATTTCCGTTGTCTCTCCCAGTACTCTCTCTCCATCCTTGCCTACCTGATCCCTCCTGTTCCCATGCCCATTCCCCTATCCAGACTCCGCCCCTGTTTACCTGTGATGTCTTTTCTATGTCCCCTTCACAGTGAGATTCATGTGTTCCCGATTCTTCTTTCTCCAGCCTCCTTCCCTCACAGACACAACCAGAGAAAGTGTCTATCTCCAGTTACACTGTATGGGCACCTGTGTTTGGCTACTTGGCTGACAAGTGTAATTGTGAGTATTTTAAGGTTGGGACCTGGTCTTCAGATCCATAGGGATCCCAGGGCCTTCCTTTATTAGTGGAACTGAGTTCTGAGTTTTCCCTTTGACCTGGAGGTTGGAGAGATCAGAGTTAGTTCACCACTATACCACCCTGATTGAAAACTCTTGCTGGCACACCTGGCAGAATTGGTTGTTTAGCACATCTGTGTTGCCAGCCCCATGCTGTTAAAGGTTACATCGCAGGCTCCAAAGTGGAGGGTGTGGCTGGGGACAGACACTAGGCCTCATGCAGGTAACACCAGGTGTGTGTGTGTGTGTGTGCGCGCGCGCATGTGTGGTAGAGAGCCCCAAGGAGGAGTTGAGAAGGCCCCACTTAGACTTACACACATATACCCAAGCCTCGAGTCAGGGTGCATAGATGTTGGTACCGGCACAATCTTAATTCTGTTCTGTTTTCCTTAGCATCACTGCTGTGCATTTGGTCCTCTGGATTTTTGCTGCATTTTCATGTGGTCCTTGGGGAGAACCTGCCCTGCTCTCCTGGAAACTCATGCTCCTCTTCTGACAGTTTTGTCTTTGGTCCCAACACCTTCTTAGCTTGACCTGGGCATGAAGATCAGCCTCCATTGCTACTTAATAACCTGGCTGGTCCGAGCGCATCCTAGGCTCATGTACTTCCTCTTCTTGTCCCTGACCCGTACCTGAGGTATCATCATGCCCACCTATATTTTCATCTTTACCCCATGAAGTGAGCCACGGTAACTGACACAGCCGACCATGTGTAGTGATCCCCGCTGGACACTCAGTGCCTTCCAGAGTGTGTTGTCCCATGTGATAGGTAATGCTGGGCACCCCCACCTCATTGGCCTGATCTCTGACTGTCTGTGTCAGAGACTCCCTTCTCCTTCTTGTCCGGGTTCTGGGTCCTGTGCTTCTCATTTGTGCTGTTAGCTTTTGCTTCCCTGGTACGTTCAGCGCAGCAACCTTCCGAGGCACCACCACGGCCATTGAGGGTGACGTCTGCTGAACTCAGCTTGGCTCGCAGAGTCTGTTAATGGAAATGCGGTGCTCTAGTGAGGTTCACCATGCTTAGAGGGCTGACAGAGGAGATGTCCCTTACCTGTTTGTATATACACCACGGGGGCCACAGGACCACTGCAGTGGAGAGCTGGGCGGAAATGCTCACTAATCCAGGTACCAGGAAAAAGCCCTGTACTATGTCCCAGCTCCAAGGCACCATATGGGCAACTCAAGAATGAGATGGGAGCCCAGAAGTGGGAGGTGTCTTCTTCACTTGAGCACCTATAGGGTTTGAGTGCTATTTTTTTTTCTTTTTTCGAGATAGGCTTTCTCTGTAGCTTTGGAGCCTGTTCTGGAACTAGCTCTTGTACACCAGGTTGGCCTCGAACTCACAGATCGGCCTGCCTCTCTCTCCCAAGTGCTGGGATTAAAGGCGTGCACCATCACTGCCCGGCTTGGGTGATATTTTTAATGGAATAAGAATTGTAACTTAAAAAGGGGGGTTGGTTTCTCTAACAGTGTATGCACCAGCATTTGTCCAGCTCTCAGTGAGGACTGTTTGCTGCTGCAGGAGGGACAGACGAGCAGAAAGACACCCAAGGATGAGTGACAGAGTTGATAAGGTGAGCGAGAAACCAGAGAAAAAACCAAGGAAGTTGGACTACATTTCAAACACTTTACTCTCGAGATAAGAAACTCACTCTTATGGGAGCTACATTCATCTCTTGATAAAGAAAGGCGGGGCCCCCATTACCTATTTACTTCTGAGAGATCCCCTACCTCTTACTGTAGTGAGACTCATTCTGAAACATGAGTTTTGGAAACAAAATTATGTAATCGATAGTATCACCTTAGAGCTGACAAACATGAGAAACCCGTGAGCACAGAGGCCATGGTGAGTAAACAGGCCTGGGCCATTTCTTTAGACTTCTGCCCACCAAGGCCCACCGAGCTAAGGCTGCTACCTAAATTACCACTTGCAGAGAATGCTGTGCGTGCTTCCATCTTCTCCAGGATGTGTCTCTGGTGCGCTTTCCTTCCCCATCTTCAACGTGCCATCCCTGGGCTGCTGCTGACTCCAGCAGGTCCTGAAGAGCAAATGTGTGAAATTCTAGACTTTACTGATACCGCAACATGTCTCCCCACATCACGGCTTGAGCAACCCCACCCAGACCAGCAGGTGCATCAGTGCGATAAGATTGGCCCAGACCACAAGTTCCTCTTCTCGCTTTCCATTTGCTGTGACCTGATGGCATTCCGCCCATTCAGTATTGTCCCCTCATGCCCTTTTCTTGTGTCCTCTACCCAGGATGCCCAGGAATGTATTTGCCCAGGTCCCTCACTGTAGTAGACTCTACTTGGTTGGTGAACTGCTTTCTTGTATTCTTCCCACGATGCTCCTGCGTGGTGTGCTGTGTCCCCCTCTGCAGACATGTGGATTCTAGCAATCCTTTAAGTTCACATGCTTTGCAAGTGTAGGCTAGAAAGCCGAATCGGAGAGGTCTGAAGCAACCTCACAAAGGGGCTTCCTCCTACATGGAGCATAGGGCCTCAGTTCACGCCAGCAAAGCGTCTTAAGAAACAAGAGATGACCACCTTGAAGGTATTGTGATAAAAGTACTTGGAGGTTTTCTCTTCTTTCAGCTTCAGGGCTAGGGATAGAATCTGGGGCCTTGAGCATCCTAGGTAAGGCCCCGCCCCTGAGATAGACCCTTAGCAAACACTTAATTCTTAAGAAAATAGTGATCCCATGGGGAAAATGGGGAAAACAGGGGTGAAGGGTCTCTAGTTGAGGGGAGGGAAATAAAAACAGCACGGGGGTCTGAAAAGGTCATTAGGAACTATACTATTAACCATCTACCGCCAAACACATATAATCACATAAGTCGGTGTATAACATATAATAATATATAATATATAATAAATATAAATATATATAGTTCAAGTGAATTTTACCATCTGGGCTGAAAATGCCTCATTTAAGTGGCAAAGACCATTTAACACAACTAGGCATGAGAAGCCCCTTTTAAGCTGTCGTCTATGAGACCCCAGAAGCATACAGCCCATTGTTATTTGTCCTTGACCACCCCAGCTTCCACAGGTGATGAAGACACCATGAACTTCAGGCACAAGGCCCGGAGACCCAGCTGCTGGGACAGACTTGAATGTACACTTCCTGACGATGAGGGTACATGGTACCAGCAGGTGCCATGCAAGCTTTCAAGGGACGGAAGCCACCAACAGTCTTATAAAACTATGATACCTACGAACCACAGCGGCGACCAATGTGAAGTCGTGCTGCCGTAATGGCACACGTACCAGCGCCTGTCTAAGTGGACTTAAGATATGTTATGTTACTGGTAAGTTGTGCCTGATACTGGAAACGACTGCGCAAGACTACTGAAGTCTCAGCAACGTGACTACCTGAACACAAGCTGGAGGAGGTCAACCGCGATCGGCGTACTCATATAACAGGGGTGCCGCGAGGAATGCGAGACACAGAATTACAGGCCACAAAGGATGCTGAGAGCAGGAGACACAATCCTCCCCACACCAACTGCTCCTTCAACCCTAGCTGGTCAGCCCTAAAAAATTACATTATACAGACTGATCAGGTTGTTCTTACGCATTAGGAATATGTTATTTTTACATACACACACAGTCACATGCATATATTCATGTATGTATGTATGTGTGTATGTATGTAGCACCAGTTGATGAGAAACAGGCCATGAATTTTAAAGAAAGTAAGGGAGGCTATATGGGAGATTTTGGAGGAAGGAAAGGGAAGGGGGAAATTACGTGATTATCCTATAATCTCAAATATAAAAGAAATAATCAATTTACTTAAAGTATTTAGACTGTGATAAGGTAAAAATTTTTCTAACTCTTAAGAATGACAGGTGTTTTCTCAGCTAAATAACAGACTACTTTGTATATGTACCAGGAATTTTATCCTTTTGTACATATATATGTACATAAATCTCTGTGCATTTTTGTCCTTCTTTTGTATAAATGGTACCATTATTCTACATATTACTTTAAAAATTTCAAGTATGTACTTTAGCACAAAAAGTGATAGATAATATTTAGGGGCTAAAAGGGCAACTCAGAAGTTAAGAGTTCTCATTGCTCTACCGGAGGACCTAAATTTGGTTCCCAGCACCCATTGCAAACATCTGTAACTCCAGTATCAAAGGATATGACACCTGCTTCTGACTTCCAGTGGCACCCATATACACATGGCATGCATTCACACACGCGCACACACACACATACACACACGTGCGCGCACACACACACACGCACACACACACACACACACACACACACACACACACGCACACAGAGCTCATCTAGACATCTGAGAGCTCGAATAGTTGGCATCTATCTATTCTTTCCTTCTGCTGTGGCTTGAACTCAATTTGTCAGGCTTGGCCATAGGTGACTTTTTCTCTGCTGAACCAAATCGTCAGCCCAAATACTTTTAATCCCTGAGTAAACTTCTCACTTGTGGGGTGGCACAAACTCAGTTTTATTTAGTCTTAGTAGAAATATGACTTAAGCTAACATTATTTGGTTATTTTAGTTGGTTTATAACGACAATTACTGAGGTCGGCTCAAATACCATTGAGCAATACAACACCAAAGAAAGAGGACAGCAGAGGCGAGAGACGTAGAGCCGGTGTCGTGCATACTTGAAATCCCAGCGGTGTGGGGCGTACTTGAAATGGCAGCGCTTGGGAGGTGGAGGCAGGAAGATCAAAAGTCTAAGGCCAGCCTCAGCTACATAGTGTATTCAAGGCCAGCGTAAGACTCCATCTCACAAAACAACAAAAAAGCGGCAGCAACAGGAAAACCAGAGAATCTAGGACAGTGCTGTGTGGGACGCTAACACTCTTTAAACTTAGTAATCTTTCCGCTTTAGAGTCAGATGCATCCCCTTCATTGTGGGGAAACTCAAACATGTCACCCTGACCTCTTGTCCATCCACAGTGTCTCATAAAACCAGTCCGAGTCTTTGAAGTGTACTTTAAACAGAATGATGTGTTTGAGGAACAAACAGAGAGCTCTCTTCACCAGAAGCCGTTGCTCACATCCAATGCAAAGTCAGGAAAATATAAGAGTGTGCATTGCAGCGCTCACAGCCCCTAGCTGTGATAGTTATACGCAAGTCTAACTTTGGACACATTTATTAAGGCGGCAAGGCAATTTGAGCCGAGGAAAGCAGCGCTGGAGCCAGCCTGTGAGCTGGAGTCCCAGCATTCAGCTAAAGTCTTCTTGGGATAAACCAACCTCTCAGTTTTAAGATGGGCACATCTCTGCTCTGTCTTGTACCTTGAACTTGACGAATGCGTCACAAAGCTGAAGGAGCCTCTTCAGCGATCACCTGGAGAGACTGTGTCTTCCACAGGTTCTAGAGTGAGGTATGGCTACAGCGGGTAAACAGAAGCACCTCTGTTTTCTAGGAAAGAAAAGGATTATCTCCCAGCAAGAAAAGCATGGGAGCAGGATCCATTCCCTTACTTAATTAGTTTATTTCTTTCTTGATTTATTGAGCTCTACATTTTTCTCTGCTCCCTCCCCCCCACCTCTCCCCGCCTTGAACCCTCTCCCAAGGTCCCCATGCTCCCAATTTACTAAGGAGATCTTGTCTTTTTCTACTTCCCATGTAGATTAGATCCATGTAAGTCTCTTTCTCAGGGTACTCATTGTTGTCTAGGTTCTCTGGGATTGTTATTTGTAGCCTGGTTTTCTTTGCTTTATGTTTAAAAAACCAGTTATGATTGAGTACATATGATAATTGTCTTTCTGGGTCTGGGTTACCTCACTCAATATGATATTTTCTGGCTCCATCTATTTGCCTGCAAATTTCAAGATGTCATTAGTTTTTTCTGCTGTGTAGTACCACATTGTGTAAATGTACCGTATCTTCTTTATCCATTCTTTGGTTGAGGGGCATTTAAGGTTGCTTCCAGGTTCTGGTTATGACAAACACTGTTACTATGAACATAGTTGAGCAACTGTCCTTGTGGTATGATTGAGCATCCTTTGGGTATATACCCAAAATGGAATTGCTGGGTTTTGAGGAAGGTTGTTTCCTCATTTTCTGAGAAATCGTCATGCTGATATCCAAAGGGGCTGTAACAGCTTGCACTCCCACCAGCAATGCAGGATGTGGTCCCTTTACCCCACATCCTCTCCAGCATAAGTTGTCATCAGTGTTTTTGATCATGGCCATTCTTACAGGTATATGATGGGATCTCAGAATTGTTGTGATTTGCATTTCTCTGATGGCTAAGGATGTTGAGCATTTCCTTAAGTGTCTGGGTTATATTTAGGAAGTGGTGTCTTGTGCCAATGCCTTTAAGTGTACTTTCTACTTTCTCTTCTATGAAATTCAGTGTGGTTGGTTTTATGTTGAGGTCTTTGATCCATTTGAAATTTGAATTTTGTACATGGTGATAGATATGGATCTGTTTTCATTCTTCTACATGTTGATATCCAGTTATGCCAGCACCATTTGTTGAATATGCTTTCTTTTTTCCATTTTATACTTTTTGTTTCTTTGTCAAAAATTAGGTATTTGTAGGTGTGTGGATTGATATCCATGTCTTCAAATCGGTTCCATGGTCCTCCTGTCTGTTTTTATGCCAATACCGGGTTGTTTTCAGTACTGTAGCTCTGTAGTAGAGTTTGAAGTCAGGGATTGTTATGCCTCCAGAAGTTTCTTTATGATACAAAATTGTTTTGGCTATCCTGGGTATTTTGCTTTTCCAAATGAAGTTGAGTATTGTTCTTGGGGTCGCTTATGCAAACTGTCATATCATCTTCAAATAGAGTCTGACTTACTCTTTTCTGGTTTGTATCCTCTTGATCTCCTTTTATTGTTTTATTATTGTTCTAGCTAGACCCTTAAGTACTATATTGAATAGGTATGGAGGGAGTGAATTATCTTGTCCTTCTTCCTGATTTCAGAGGGATCACTTTGAGTTTTTCTTCATTTAGTTTGATGTTGACTGTTGGATTGCTGTATATTGCCTTTATTATGCTTAGGTATGTTCCTTGTATCCCCGCTTTCTCCAAGACTTTTATCTTGA